GGGCTCCGCCCACACCCAGACCAAACCAGCCGCCCACAGATGATCGCAGAGTCGCGTCGCACGAAGAACGCACAGCTGTGCAGGTACCTCTGCCGGGGCTCCAGGGAGAACTTGACGACCCCACAGAGGGGCTGGCCCCACCTCGTTTCACAGGTGTGTAAGTCACGCACTCGCCCGGACAGGAATCTGACAGAATCAGACTTGCGTCCCCAAATAAATGATGAATTCATGGCGAATAAGTGGAGGGCTTGGCCTAGTGCCGCTACAACATATGTTACGTCACACGTGCCGCTGGGAAATTTACAGCTCTGCGCCCGTTTTCCTGTCAATGCCAGGGAAGGCAGCTCTGTAGGAGTGATCCGAGAATAAAAAAACACCCTTTTCCAATCGTGCTAACAAGTTCCAGTGTCTCTTCAGCGAAGTGATTTAGCGGCTCAGAGGTTCAGTAGTCGCGAGAAAGTGGTTTCAGTAGCCCTGAGGTTTGGCTGTCCAGTGATTCTTTGACTCAGTGGTTCAGTGGTCCAGTGGTCCAGTGGTTCAGTGACTCTTTGACTCAGTGGTCCAGTGGTTCAGTGACTCTTTGACTCAGTGGTTCAGTGGTCCAGTGGTTCAGTGATTTTTTGACTCAGTGGTCCAGTGGTCCAGAGATTCTTTGACTCAGTGGTCCAGTGACTCTTTGACTCAGTGGTCCAGTGGTCCAGTGGTTCAGTGGTCCAGTGGTTCAGTGATTCTTTGACTCAATGGTTCAGTGGTCCAGTGGTTCAGTGGTCCAATGGTTCAGTGATTCTTTGACTCAATGGTTCAGTGTTCCAGTGATTTTCTGACTCAGTGGTTCAGTGGTCCAGTAGTTCAGTGGTCCAGTGATTCTCTGACTCAGTGGTTCAGTGGTCCAGTGGTTCAGTGGTCCAGTGATTCTCTGACTCAGTGGTTCAGTGGTCCAGTGATTCTCTGACTCAGTGGTTCAGTGGTCCAGTAGTTCAGTGGTCTAGTGATTCTCTGACTCAGTGGTTCAGTGGTCCAGTAGTTCAGTGGTCCAGTGATTCTCTGACTCAATGGTTCAGTGATCCACTGGTTCAGTGGTCCAGTTCACATGGCAGAAATCCCAGCTGCAGTGAGTTCCAGTGATGGCTCATGATTGTGGCAGAACCTGCAGAACTAAGTCTCAGCCCGTGGTGATGCCTGTCTCCTGGGTCTGTTCCCCTTCGCCGGTCAGAGAGGGGATTCGCACCCTGGGCTATCCTGTCTGTCTGCACTGTGAATACCTTGGAAACTGTAAATGTAAGAAAATAAATAAAAAAAGCTTAAGATAAAGCAGAATGGAAAGGTTTCTGTTTCACTTTTTGCACCTCCGCTCATTAAACTGCACTGTGAGGAGTCTCAACTTGGAGAAGAT